CTTTATCGAACTGAACCTTGGTAGAAAATTAAGAATCAATCAATCAACCAATAACTTAAATTTAAATCAAAATGCAAAAAAAAACTAATTTGAATTACTATTTGAGAAAACACTTTAAGTAACTGTAGAAAGGAGCTATAAACTCATTTCAAACAGATAATATACAAAAGAGAATCGAAGTAATCACAACTAAAACATTTTGATGAAAAACTCAGTTGGGAGGGAATCCATTTTCGACAGGAAAAAAATGTAGATCATCAAGTCTTCAAAACAATCAAATCTGAACCTTAATTGTGCTTTTAGTCTTGAAAAAATCAAAAGAGACAAACTAAACAAAGGAACCATGGACGAAATTAGAAAAAAAAACAAAAGATAATCAGAAGCTTCACAACCGATCAGACTTTTTGGAAAATCACTTCTTCAAAGAGAATCCGTTTTCATCACAAAAATAAAGTTATTCAGGAAAATTATTAATGCAATCGATTCTGAACATTATTTTGGCAATCAGTTTCAAATAATTGAACAAGGTTTTTAAAACAATGAACAAAATAATCTGATAAAAAACAACATCTTCACAGGGGTAAAAAAAAGTTTCGGACTTTTTTTTGCAAAAAAACACAACATCTCAGATCATTGTTTAAATCATTACATCAAAGAGATTCCTAAAAGATCACTGAAAGTTTTAACACAAAAAAACACTTTATCGAACTGAACCTTTATAGAAAATTAAGAATCAATCAATCAACCAATAACTTAAATTTAAATCAAAACGCAAAAAACACTAATTTGAATTACTATTTGAGAAAACACTTTAAATAACTGTAGAAAGGAGCTATAAACTCATTTCAAACAGATAATATACAAAGGAGAATCGAAGTAATCACAACTAGAACATTTTGATGAAAAATTCAGTTGGGAGGGAATCCATTTTCGACAGGAAAAAATTGTAGATCATCAAGTCTTCAAAACAATCAAATCTGAACCTTAATTGTGCTTTTGGTCTTCAAAAAATCAAAAGAGACAAACTAAACAAAGGAACCATGGACTAAATCAGAAAAAAAAAAGATAATCAGAAGCTTCACAACCGATCAGACTTTTTGGAAAATCACTTCTTCAAAGAGAATCCGTTTTCATAACAAAAATAAAGTTATTCAGGAAAATTATTAATGCAATCGATTCTGGACATTATTTTGGCAATCAGTTTCAAATAATTGAACAAGGTTTTTAAAACAATGAACAAAATAATCTGATAAAAACCAACAACTTCACAGGGGTAAAAAAAGTTTCGGACTTTTTTGCAAAAAACACAAAATCTCAGATCATTGTTTAAATCATTACATCAAAGAGATTCCTAAAACATCACTGAAAGTTTTAACACAAAAAAACACTTAATCGAACTGTACCTTGGTAGAAAATTAAGAATCAATCAATCAACCAATAACTTAAATTTAAATCAAAATGCAAAAAACACTAATTTGAATTACTATTTGAGAAAACACTTCAAGTAACTGTAGAAAGGAGCTATAAACTCATTTCAAACAGATAATATACAAAGGAGAATCGAAGTAATCACAACTAAAACATTTTGATGAAAAACTCAGTTGGGAGGGAATCCATTTTCGACAGGAAAAAATTGTAGATCATCAAGTCTTCAAAACAATCAAATCTGAACCTTAATTGTGCTTTTAGTCTTCAAAAAATCAAAAGAGACAAACTAAACAAAGGACCCATGGACTAAATTAGAAAAAAAAAAGATAATCAGAAGCTTCACAACCGATCAGACTTTTTGGAAAATCACTTCTTCAAAGGGAATCCGTTTTCATCACAAAATTAAAGTTATTCAAGAAAATTATTAATGCAATCGATTCTGGACATTATCTTGCCATTCAGTTTCAAATAATTGAACAAGGTTTTTAAAACAATGAACAAAATAATCTGATAAAAAACAACAACTTCACAGGGGTAAAAAAAGTTTCGCACTTTTTTTGCAAAAAAACACAAAATCTCTGATCATTTTTTCAAATCATTACATCAAAGAGATTCCTAAAACATCACTGAAAGTTTTAACACAAAAAAAAACACTTTATCGAACTGAACCTTGGTAGAAAATTAGGAATCAATCAATCAACCAATAACTTAAATTTAAATCAAAATGCAAAAAATACTAATTTGAATTACTATTTGAGAAAACACTTTAAGTAACTGTAGAAAGGAGCTATAAACTCATTTTAAACAGATAATATACAAAGGAGAATCGAAGTAATCACAACTAAAACAGATTGATGAAAAACTCAGTTGAGAGGGAATCCATTTTCGACAGGAAAAAATTGTAGATCATCTTATTTTCAAAGCAATCAAATCTGAATCTTAATTGTGCGTTTAGTCTCCAAAAAAATCAAAAGAGATAAACTAAACAAAGGACCCATGGACTAAATTAGAAAAAAAAAAGATAATCAGAAGCTTCACAAAAGATCAGACTTTTTGGAAAATCACTTCTTCAAATGGAATCCGTTTTCATCACAAAAACAAAGTTATTCAAGAAAACTAGGGGCCCAGCTGAAAGCTGGAGAGACCTGTTTGATTATTTTAATATTGATTATTTTAAAATTGTTTTAAAATTTCAGGTTTCTCAAGTCGATAGCTCCCTTCCTACGCAAAAAAGTGAAAGAGAAGCTTATGCATTCATTGGTAACGCTTTGGTAAAAAGTTTTCATGAGGGAACTTTTCAAGTCCATAGGCGTTTCTCTAGACAATAGGGGCCCAGCTGGAAGCTGGAGAGACCTGTTTGGTTATTTCAGAAAAAACAATATACAAATTTTTGATGAAATCGAATTAGCTAGCGCTTTTTGTTTGATTGAAAAAACGAGTTTGAAAAAATGTGGGTGGGGGGTGTAAGGTTAGCGAAATCGCAGATTGATTTCGGATGAGTTTTGTAAACCAATGTAGCAAGGTAATTGTGTGCAGTGCAAATATGACTATAATATGTTGACTATAAACGACATCACAAAAACGTTCTGGAACAAACCGACCTGATTAAAGAGAACTAGCGTAACTCGTGCAACTTCTCGTTGGACTTCTTCGAACCATACAAAAAAACTCAACACAAAGCCAATAGCACCAAGCAAAAGCGAGAAAACGTAAGCATAGCGGACTCCATTGTCTAAAAAATACACACAATAAGTATATTGAATCTTTGTTCCAATGCCAAAAAAACTTTTAAAAAAACTTTTCCTAAGTGTACAGCTCTTCCCCGAGACAAATTAAGGACCAGCCGCTTGGGCAGGGGAGTTTCCTACAACCTGGTCTATCGATTAAACCCTTAATCCCAAATCTGGATGGGTAGTTTTTGAAGAAATCGAAAAAGTTTGAAAAAATGGCCTAAAAACCGAAAAATTGACTATTCCTAAGTGTATAGCTCTTCCCCTAGACAAATTAGGGACGAGCCGTTTGAGTAGGGGGGGGTTCCTGCAACCTGGTCTATCGATTAAACCCTTAATCCCAAATCTGGACGGGAAGTTTTTGAGGAAATCGGAAAGATTTGAAAAAAGGCCAAAAAAGTGACTTTTCCTAAGTCTATAGCTCTTCCCCTAGGCAAGTTAAGGACCAGCCGCTTGTGCGGGGGAGTTTCCTACAACCTGGTCTATCGATTAAACCCTTGATTCCAAATCTGGATGAGTAGTTTTTGAGGAAATCGATAATTTCCGAAAAAATAGGCAAAAAAATCAAAAAAGTGACTTTTCTTAAGTCTATAGCTCTTCCCCTAAGCAAATTAGGGACCAGCCGCTTGTGCATGGGAGTTTCCTACAACCATTTCTATCGATTAAACCCTTAATTCCAAATCTGAACGGGTAGTTTTTGAGGAAATCGAAAATTTCCGAAAAAATGGGCAAAAAGTGAAAAAAGTACCGAGTTGTGAAGCTTTTCTAAGACCGTAGGGGGTGGGGTAGGGTAAAAATTGCCCTAAATTTTATGCAGGCAGGTAGGTGAAACGCTACTGAATCCATTGGTACCACTTTTATGAGAATCTGACGGGTAGTTTTTTGGAAAAGCGAATTTTTCGAAAAAGCGTCTCAAAAAAAAAAAAAAAAAAAAAAAAAAAAAAAAACCAGATCTCATCTGGAAAAAAAAACGTTTTCATAATAACTGTTTAATAAATCAAACAGGAATTATTAATGCAATAGATTCTGGATATTACTTTGCCATTCAGTTTCAAAAAATTGAACAAGGTTTTTAAAACAATGAACAAAATAATCTGATAAAAAACAACAACTTCACAGGGGCAATGATGTTAGAGTCTTTATCGCAAAAAACACAAAATCTCAGATCATTGTTAAAATCATTAAATCAAAGAGGGGATTCATTGAGAGGGAATTCATTTTCGACACGAAAAAATTGTAGATCATCAAGATCTTCAAAACAACCAAATCTGAACCTTAATTGTGCTTTTACTCTCCAAAAAAATTAAAGAGACAAACTGACCAAAAGAAAAAAGTTAACAACCAGTTTCACAGAACAACCTTTATGCTGAAAAAACACAAGAATCGATTAAACCCTTAATTACAAATCTGGATGGGTAGTTTTTGAGGAAATCGATAATTTCCAAAAAAATTAAAGAGACAAACTGACCAAAAGAAAAAGGTTAACAACCAGTTTCACAGAACAACCTTTATGCTGAAAAAACACAAGAAAACATTAGATTTGTGACTTTTACACTTTTGAGTCTCGATAGTTGAGAGTTTGCCTTCCTTTTAATATAGGAAATAAACTGAACATAAAAACAAAACAAAAATCATACCGCGAAAAATCAAACTTTAGCAGAGCCAGAACAAAATTTAAAACTTTTCCTAAAATCACGACCTATATAAGAGTTTTAAAAACAAGAATAAGATAACCTTAACAGTCAAGCTAAAGCGCAATATGATATATTCAATCACAAAGAATCTATGATCAATGATGTTTTCGTGTTATTAGCCAATAATTAAGAAATCAGTGGCGCTTACCGAAATGGAAGTCAATTTTGGCCTCGTTAATATTCAATGGTTTCCCTCTCTCGTCAAATGTTCGTCTTGGCGCTTTCTTTTTCAGTTCTTCCAATCTGTTTTTGTTGCCACTTTTCTCTTCATTTTGTTTTTCAATCTTTTTCTGAATTTCGTATCTAGCTTCGGGTGTGTGCTTACTTGGCTTGCTCCAAAACTCTTCGTCTGTAACTTCTTCAATTTTTGCACTTTCTAATTCGTTCAGACCTTCTTCACGCTCGATTTCTCGCTGGACCAAATACGCATTTTCTTGCTCGATAATTTTGTTTTCAATGAACCTGAAATTCTGCTGCGCTTTTATTCGTTCAGATGTTTCAATAGTCGTTCCATCTAGAGTCTTTAACTGAGGCAAACAGGCAGCAACGTAGTCTCGATAACCTTCAAACTGAGCGCACGGGTTTCCTACAAGGTATAGCTCTTCCAAAAAGATATTGTCTTTCAAAGTTTTGACCGAACTTATTTTACCCACAAAGTTAACAGTCAAATCCAACTTTTTTAAACACTCGCATTTTTCTAGACCTTCAATCTCTTCAATATTATTCAAAGCTAAATTGACATACTCTAATTTTTTCAGGTGTGATAAATTTTCAATTTTGGGTATCAAGTTGCTTTGCAAGTATAATATTTTGAGCTCCTTGCACCATTTGTCGATGTGCTCGATTTTCTCGATTTCTTGCTGATGGAGAGATACTTCTTCTAATGTGGAGAGCATCATTTCGTTGTGTTCGGCCCGCTTTCTGATGAGGTCTTCGGTTATAAATACCATTTTGAAAATATCTAAAACGACAAAATGCAACATATGACAATTATCAATTCCAATCCAATAACATGCTCTGGATATCCCGATCACCAATCATCAAGAAAAAACTAGCGCTAATAGAGGATCACAAAACAATCTAGAAATGTAGCAGCTGATATTTGTCATTCAGGTCTATCTAAGTTCAATTCACTCGACTTGGGTCTATTTTTATTACCTTTTCTTAAAACATTTTTGATATCTTTTTCTCAACTATCGTGTCCGAATCAGCTGTCACATAAAACAAATTAAGCAAAATCTCATCTGCTAGTTTCCATGGCTTGTTTTTTATAGTTCAAAAAAACCATGCCAAGTTTTAAATTAAAAACAATGACGACTGACGGGAAAAGAGTCAATGAACGGAAAAGCGTCAATGAACGAAAAGAAACAGAAAAAAAAATATTGACAAAAAATTTACAACTTCAGTTTTTAAAAACAACCTCTTCGAACTTCAAGAAAAAATTTAGGCTTGCCCCTTTTTTTGATGAAATTTACCTAATTTGAGAAAACTGGAACAATGGGTAAATGTTTAATCCGCTGGTAAAATTGAAAACTAAAATCCAATTTCGAAATAAGAATTCGATCACATTGACCCAAATTTGAGCTTTTTCCTTAAAAAAGGCTAAAAATCAGAACGACCTATATAAGAGTCTTCACACGTTCACTCTTAAAAACAAAATCATATCTTTCCTACACACTGAACTACAGAGCTGTTTTAAAAAAGCGTCCAGATTTAAAGAATTTGTAGCATAAGGCACATACTCAAGAGCACTATATATTTACAATTATATATTTAAACAGACCTTTGTCTTCGCCTAACAGTCACCTAACAATGATGAATTATCAATTTCGCTCAACAGTTTTATTGTTTCACAAGAAAACAAAGGTCTGTGCGAAACTTAAATATAAACATTACCAAAAACAGGAGATAAAATTAGGATAAAGTAACAGAATCGGACCAATCGATAAGTCCAACGGAACAAATTTAACTACAATTCGTACAATTTAATATTTTTAAATTCCATTTTTGAACCAATACCTTTTTCACTAGTGATTTTCAATTCCATACGTGAGTCGAGATCTAATTCCACTTTTTGATATGATAAAAGTATTTAACGCCATAAAGCCGTGAACACTGCACCGAAATAAAAATGAAGGCCCATCAATTCTTAGCACGCATACCCATGCAAATTGTTCCCAGAACACAAAATACGTGACACCATAAGATGTAAATGACTTACAGCATGAAAGTTTCGAATCTAATTATTAACTTTATTACAATTATTACATCGATGTTCCTATTCTAGGTGGCCATAGTCTGATCGCCGTGACCATTTGCCGACGTTCCTTTTTCATCTTTCTTCACATCTGTTGTTCCTCCAGCGAATAATGCTCGGTCATTTTTAGAATCTTCCTGAACCAATCCCCCCGATGTGTGAGTGCCTCCAGAAGCCCCCGGGGTTGCCTCGCCGGTAGCCGGAGCGAACCCGAAAAAGTTGAGGTTGCTGAGACCCGACTTCATGCCAGTTCCGATAGAAGTGATGCCAGTTTTGGTGTATGTAGCCGCGTTTGAAAAGGCAGACTTGCTGGACTGGATGACATTGGACTGATTGAGTTTCTGCACCTGTTCCGCAGCCGCCACTTTTTGAATAGCCGCACCTGAAAACGCATTCCAGATTTTTAAATATTTTGACCTCGAGAAAGACCTGCACTTGATTTCGCCGACTTTTCAAGCTGCCTGACCAACAATTTGTGAAAACAATTCTAAAATATTGATGAGCTACCATTTCCTGATTTGCACACATGAATGCAAAACACGGTATCCGCCTGCTTTTCGGTTATACAACAAAGCTTTCTTGTTCCATCCCCTCTATTCGTTCGTTTAAAATGTCCTCTACGCAAGATTTTCGAAAGAAAACCGAACGTCAAAAAGAAGAACAATAAAACACAGAGGCGAAGCGGAGCTTCGCATCATTTGCGATACAGCAAACATAAAAGCTTCTAAAAAATTAAAAAGTTTTTCAAAAAAACTAAGTTTACCGAAGTTAAAATATTTGTAATTCTCGGTAGAAATTTAAGTAAAGCAAAGAAACCAGACGTTTGATTTAAAATAAGCAACTGAACGAAACTAACGAAGAGGAAACAAAGCTGACAATCTTTGAACAAACACAAATGAAGCCAAAAAAATTAATGTCAAAAATTTAAGAGTTTTCAAGTCCCCTGAAACTACATTGAACAACACGTGCACCTACAAATTTAAAAGTGCCTGATAAGGCTACTTAACTTGCACTTAAATTTACATGGAAACATGCCTCTGGCACAAGCAAAATCTGTGATGTGGCAACTAAGCCGACAAAACTTGAGCAGAAACAAAATTACGAGAATTCAACTTTTACAGAAAATTTCGATTGAATACACACCCCTAACCTTAGGATTCAAAGGCGACGGCGTTACCTCTACCTAAATGCAAACGGATCTAAAAGTTCGTAAGCTTCAATAATAAAGCCAATAAGAAACGCAATTAAAATTTGTAAGAAAAGTTGTTTGTGAAAAAAAGTACATTCCCGATTACAAGACACTTACTCGTTAAATGCTATTCCAAAAAACTGCCTATAGTGTATATTCTGGCATCGAATTCCCTCTTTAAGATTCTCGAGCTTCATTTCAGGCCATCTTCCAAGAATTTGCATAGGCAAAGCTGCGCTTCGCAAACACTAGCGACAACACTAGCCACAAAAAAGCAGCTTTATAAAGTGATATAACAAAAAATAGAAGTAAGGCTCTAATTAGTAAAACTTTGCTGTGTGGGATTCAAACCAGCAACCTTGAGAGTTGGAATCTTACGCCCTGCTCCTCGGCCACTAACGCTTAACAAACGACAAACACTAGTCACAAAAAAAGCAGCTACATCTGATAACAAATTGCCAGAGTAGTATTGTATCGTGTCCCGGATCCTAAGGGGGGGGTCCTTCCTAAGGGGGGGGTCCTCACGTAAAGCAAAATCCTAGGAAAGGGGTCCTTAATTTTTTGGAGGACCCTCATCCTAGGATTTTGTAAACGAAAGAGATTTTCCACCCAAAAAGCAGAAGACCCTCTACTTAGGATCTTGCTAAGTTTAGCTTAACAACAAGAGACACGATACAAAAATCTTTCTAATTCCAAATTTTGGGGTCCTAATTATTGGTCCTGATTAATTATATGAATCATATTAATTGTTATGCTTGTTTAGGGTAAATGAACTTTCGACCTAGTTGAAATTTGTTAGTGAACGGGGAATTGACTTTTATGGTATATAATAAAAATTCGCCGGCCATTTTGGCAGCGTAGCTTAACTGTTGGCAGCAGTAAACTAATTCCTTAACTTGACCTAAATTTTATGGTGAAAAGGCAGTAAATTGAAATTACTCTCAAAAGGCGGCGGCCGTTTCTGGGCAAAATATACCAAATGATAAAATTGTCAAATTTTGAAATAAGAAAAATGAAATTAGAGGGAACTTGGTGTACTGAAGATATTGATAATGAACATTTACAATTAAGAGTGTTTTCAACCGCAGAAAAAAACTCATTTTTCAAATTATGTAATGAACGCTACGTCGTCTTCCTCGAAAGGGCAAAGGAAATTTCAAAGAAAGAATACGAGTTGATTTTCAAAGAACAATTTTATTTGAGTGAGCTTCAACAAATCTCTTGGTGCATTTCTACAAAACAAAAGTATGGCACTGTGAGCGATTTGAATATTGCTGATTATGAAAACGTTTTCGACTATTCGTTTGACTTTAACTCATTATGGGTTGATAAAGACTTGGAGAGAAAAATCCGTCTATGTTTCAACAAGCTATCAAAATACAAAAAACTTCCGGTGGTTTATTTAATTATTTACCACCGTTATCTTAATGAGTCTAAATGGTATTTGCAAGGTCACTTTTATTTCCACTGGCTTGAAATTCAGCAGGTTGGAGAGGTGTTGGAAAAAATAAATAATGAAATTGCAAAAAAGCAGAGTAACTCCTATTGATTTGAAAATAATTCACGAAATTTATACGTCTTTGAAACAAACTTATCCTGATAATTCTAACCGACGCAACTATTTTCTAGCTGCATGTTCTCTGTTTTTTGTTAGTTCTGATAACCTTAACTACGACATTTTAATTAAGTTGAGACCTTATGGTGGCTTGATTGGTATTGATAACTCTTCCTTGGACAAATATTTGAAAAATTCCAAAATTTTACGATTGCACGCTATTTTGCACGATGCGGCCGGATTTATACACGAATTTTATCAACAGGGTCCCACGTACTGTTACATGTTGCCCTGGAACTGTAACAACAGCTTATTGGGACATTTGAGTGGAATAGCGTTCTGCCTTTTCATTAAGTTGAAAAAACCAGAAGTTTATCATTTACTAGAATGCTAGGCGAGAGATCAGTTGTGCTTGACGTGGAAGGCTTTCGTTACAAGAAAAACGCCTTTGTGGTTAAAGAATTAGCAATAACAACTTCAGACTACAGCGATCGACTCATTTTCCTACCTCCAGCTAATTTCAATATACTACCAAAGCTTGAACAAAAAGCTTACAACTGGTTAACTAATTATTTACACGGTCTCCATTGGGAAAACGGTGATTATCTTTATATAAACTTGAATCAAATACTTCAGAGTTTTGTGCTGAGAAATCCTGGTGCCGTTTTTTACGCTAAAGGAAAAGAAAAGACAGAATTTTTGGCCAAGTACTTGGACCGAAAGATTGAAAACCTAGATGATTTGGGCTGTCCTCGGGTTGAAAACTTATATTTTAAAAATTATCCAAGTTGCAATAAACATATTCCACATTACAACTCCAGGAATCATTGTGCCTTGAAGAAAACCAAGGTTTTTTATGATTGGTTGAAAAATGAACAACAGCGAGAGATCAGCGAAAGTGGAGACATACCTATCACAAAATTCAATGCTTTGTGCGTGGATGACTCCAGAGGGTGATATTAAAATTTCATTAACGAGAATAGAGCGTATTGATTGCAGTGGCCAAATTGTTCAGAGGAAGGAGCAAATAATAATTTCCGAAGAAGAGTTGTCTACGTTGAAGAGGTTTTTTCCAGTTATTGATCAATTTGTATACTTCCAGAGATTCAAGTTTATCAGAAATGTTAGCCAGCAAGCGAGGAGTATGTCTTCCCGAACTAGTCTTAGTACCCAAACGTCAGCCAGGAGTTCAGATGGATCTAAACAGCAGTGAATTGCCAGATGAGATTAAGACGATTGTGAAAGAGGATACTGTGAAGAAAATAATGTACTACAAAAAAACCGCAAATATCCCAGCAAACTTTGTTTTAGAAATGCATGACATAAATGATAGAGATTTCACACTTTATGAAATTTTTTACTGTTCTCAAAAGTAATTTAATTTTTTACAAGCTTCATTCGCAGAGAGAAAAAGTCTAACGCAGTCTGTAGAATAAATAGTTTCTCAAATGTCAGAAGCAACAACAGCAGTAGATGAACCTGACGCAACATTAGTAACAGAGTTTGTTTATAACGAGACAAACAGTGAAAAAAAATCATGGAAGTTTTGTAACAATGTAACTTTGCCAAGGTCTGAAGTAGTTTTTGTTGCGCAAATGGTAGTAATTCTAATTTTACTAACTTTCTGCATTCTCAAACTTTCTTTCACTAAATTAAGTTGCGAAGAAACGTCAGTTTGGTTCTCGATTTTATCAGGCTTGGTTGGTTACGTACTACCAAACCCAAGAATATGAATAAAGTGATTGATACTTCGACAAGAATTTTTATGGCGATAGTGGGACCTTCAGGATCCGGGAAAACTGAGTTAATTTTGAAACTTCTGATGGGAAATACTTTTTACCCTAAATTTGGAACCGTTCTATATCTTTACAAAGAGATGCAACCTGCATTCTCAGAAAAAGTGTCTTCTCGCGAAGTGAATATGGAGTTCATGAAATTCGACGGATTCGAATCTGTGAGAAAATTAGAAAATGTTCTTCTAGTTTTCGATGATTCATGTGAAGACATCTATAATGACAAGGAATTTGTTAGGTTAGCGACAGCGGGTAGACATAGAGGGATAGATGTAATATATGTTAAGCATAACTTGTTTCAACAAAGTCGATGGTCGCGTACGATTGATTTGAACACTTCACACATCATTCTGTTCAAATCGCCTCGCGACGTTCAGCAACTAGATCTATTAGGAAGACAATTGAATGTATCAAAATTTTTGAGAAACTGTTACGAATTAGCTACCAGAGACTCTTTTGGACATCTTCTAATCGACTTGGACCCCCGTACATCAGATTGTTTGAGATATTGTTCAAATATCACACCACCTGGGCCAACAGTTTTTTATTTACCCTTATCTGAAGCAGAAACTACTCCAATCACAAATGAAAAAGAAAAACTTATCTATTCTGCGGCATATGGTACAACTGAAACCTGACCAGCTAAGAAGATTAATTAGAAAAACTTCAAATCGTGAGATCATAACACTTGTTTGTGAATGTTTGCTCAATGTAGTCAATGGAAACGTACCCATTAAAATCGCAAACATCGAACGATTCGAGACAGCATACAAATACTTATTAACTCCAAAAACCAGTGTTGTCAAAAAACGTGCGATTATTTTGAGTAAAGAAGGCTTCCATTT